GAGTTTTTATAAAGAAATAGTTTTAATGCACATGATTGATAAGATATTTTTAAAAAAATAACATATATTTATTACAAATAACTAATTTAACTAATTTTTTGAATGACCATAAATTAGTTTTCTAGCTCTTATATTAGAAATTAGAGTTAGCAAATCAAATTGTCACAAAAAAAGAGTTAGCAGATCAAATATTATTGAAAAGATTTAGGGAAAATTGAGGAGAAGGACCTAAAAAAATTAGTATTTATGGAGAGGGATCTTAAAAATTGTAATTAATTTGAAGGACCAGAGATTAAAATATGAATTTACAATTACGAAATTATCCCTCACCAAATCCCTACGTTATCTCCAAGACCCATCTCAATATTTGACTATTAGTTATCAATTGAAATATAAATTTATAATTACTAAATTGTCCCCCCCATTAAAATTAAAAACTAAATACAGCAATTAACAAAAAATAGAGTCCTATTTTTCAGTCATTCATATCTACATCTACTAGCCTTTCATTCCAATATGGCTGGAAAAATTTTCAGCTTGCGCAACTGCGATTTTGCCCCTCATTCCGATGTGGTTGGAAAAATTATTAGTGAAGCTTAGGTTACTAAGAGATATTATTTACTTGATTTTCATATTTTGGTTAACACAAAGAACTATATTTATATTCATCTAAGAAGCTTTGTATAGGTAGTGTGATTGTGTTCATACGTATGTATAGTTGAGATTAAATGAAGGTACAAATATATACTTTTATATTCATCCAAAAAGTCTTTATATAGAGGCCATGAGAAAATAAGAAAACATTCAGTACAAATAAACTAAAGGAGGGAAACTAATGTTTAGAATATACATACCGTCCAATAAATAGTCTACTAGTTGATTCCTTTTAATTTGTCTTCTTTATTCTAGATTTATAAGAAGATAATTGCTATTGGTAAAAACTTTGGGTGCATCAAAAAGAGATACAGAGAGAGAGAGAAATCAAGTTCAATTGATAATTAACCGTCAAATTGAAATAGAAGAGTGTTGGAGATAATGTAGGGATTTGATAAGGGACAATTTGGTAATTGTAAAAATTTTATTTTAATTTTTGGTCTTTCAAATTAATTACAATTTTTAAGATCCCTCTTAATAAATACTAATTTTTTTAGGTCCTTCTCCCTAATTTTCCCAAAGATCTATTTTCTATACTATGTATTGATTTTTAGGAAAGATCGCCAAACTCACAAGGATGCAAAAATTTTATTTTTGGCCTGTTTGGTTCATGGGATCCTTGAGAATATAATGGAATGCATTGATAGAGAATGTAATCTAATGATGATTAGAAATTATAATAATTTAGAATACTGAGTGTTACTAGTATTAAAAAAATATTCTAGGATATTAGATGAATCACAAATTAAATTAGATATTAATTGCTATTAGAAAAAATGTTTCAAATATAGCTTAACCTTGTATAAAATGTTAGGTCCTAATTTTTTTAATCTCAATAATTATTAACTTAAGGTTGAAGTTTGTGGCTGTGTCTTTTTTTCCCCAGTAATGCTTTTTTTTGTTGCTTAATTTCAAACTATTACATTGTACTACTGTTTTTACACAATAAATATTGTTGCCAATTTTCACTTTGCCCGGAAACGGTGCGCTCCACGTAGAGCGGAGATAAAGGACCATCAAAGTAACAGGAAGAAGCAATGCCCATGGTTACCGTACCAATTTTTTTAATATGAATATATTATTTTATTCTTAATATATTACTACTCTGTTTCTTATTATAAGATTCTTTTAACTAAATTATACAGTTTAAAAAAACTGTTAAAATTAGTTAAAAGCAATTAATATGAAACAAATATAATTTTTTTTTCAAATACACCCCTATATATAGATGGGTGTATTAAATATCTAGGTAAACTTAAAAAGGATTTTGTAAAAAGAAACAAACCTATTTAAAAAATTAGATTTTATAATAAGAGATGAAGAGAGTAACCAACGGGGGTTGGTCCAAGTGGTAAGCGGCTTGGTACCGCTTAAGCGAGGTCTCGAGTTCGAGTCTCAGCGTATGCAGAAATCCATGTTGAGAGACTCACCCACCACAGCCAGGTGCGCGACGCGTGTCGGATCCAGATATAGTCGAAGCAAAGCTCCGGTGAACTGAATAGGCAACCAAAAAAAAAAAAGAGATGAAGAGAGTATAGTATAAATAATTATTTTTTAAAACATATATATTAAATGTAAATAAAGTTAAAAAATTATAATATATTTTAATAAAAAACTAATACAGTTTAAAATTTTTATTAATTTATAAAATTTGATGAAAGCATCTTAATTAGAGGAGTATCGAATCACGTGTTTCTTTTGTCTGGTAAAATAGACTGTCTTGTGGGCCACGATTCGATTGACAGCCCAAAAACCAAAATAATATAAATAATACCACTATATGAATTAAATATCAACTAATTTGTCTTATCAGTAAATCTAAAAATATTTAAGTATTATGGTTAAGAAAGTTAAAACTTACAAGTGGATATACAACTATTTGAGGAGTAAGATCATATGATTTTCCTTAATTAAAAAAAAAAAGAAAGCATTACAATAAAATCTTTAAAAAAACATAATTATTATAAAGTTTTAATGACAATTAAACAACTTGTAATGATATGATCAGAATAGGAAATGATAATCCTTCATTTGTTATTGAGACTTTTTAGGAGTTACGAGTATTTTTTTTTTCTATGAGACCTTATTACAATTTTTTTAAAAAAAAAAGTTGAAAAGTTGGGAGCACATGCTTCTTAAAAATTTAAGAAATAACTTTCTGACTAAAAATTGAAAAATTGTACTTGTCAAATATTTTTTTAATTTTTTTTCAATCCAACATAACTACATAACCCTAACTCTATGGGTATTCTTTCATACTATTAAATACTATCATTTTTATCTAAAAAATAATTTTAATTTTTCAAAAACAAACTATTAAACAAAAAAGTTATATGTATTTGTGTTTTTTAAATGATATATGTATTTGTGTTTGATTACCACTTTTAAAAACGTAAAAGCAATTACTTTCCCTAAACTAAACTAACGCTTAGACATTTGAAGATATTTTTCAAAAATCCATTTTGAATAAATTACCGGAGAACAAAATCAACTTTAAACAATCTAAATAGATTTTGATAACCAAAACATAAAAAGCACAACTTTTTAATCATAATTTATGAAATACAAAATAAATATGTAAAAAAAATTTAGCTTCAATCTACATAAAATGTGTTCATAACTTATAAACACTTAAACAAGTCAATCTAAACAAATACATGCTTGTTAAGGAATTTGGTAAATTGGCACCACACTTTTAGGTTTCTGAATTTCAAATGGTATATTTATGTTATTTTACCTAAATTATAAAGAATTATTATTTTTACCTTTTAAGTTTTTGAGAAAATGACCCAAAAATACCTTTTGAAATTTAAAAAGACAAATAGGTCATGTAAATAAGTGGAAGGACCAAATGAGTATGAGGTAGGAATTGGGGATTTGCAAAGTTTGGTGAAAAAACTAAACTGCCACTAAAGTAAAATGAAAAGTAGCAACAGGTTTTGTAAAGTGACTTATAACTTTCAAATTGAATTTAACTATTTTCATAACGTGTTTTACAATCTGTTATTAGCCATTTACAAACTAGGCGAAACTCAAGGGATTGAGTTGAACAAAATTACTAAACATGTAATATAACTAATCACTTGTAAAATGATAGTACCAATTTTCATAATATATTTCACAACCTGTTATTAGCTATTTTTAAATAATTTTACTAAATATGTAGCATAATTGATAGCTTGTGAAATGAATTTATCCATTTTCATGACATATTTTGCAATCTATTATTAGCCATTTCCGGATAATTTTATTAATATGGAATGTGATTGACAGCTTGGAAAATGAATTTGACTATTCCATAACTCGCTTCGCAATTTGTTGTTAGCAATTTCTAGACAATACTAAACATGTAATATGATTGAGAACTTGCAAAATGAAGTTGACTATCTCCGTAATGCATTTTGCAACTTATTACTAGTCATTTTTAGACAATTTTACTAAATGTATAATGTGATCAACAACTTATGAAATGCATATGACCATTTTCATAACACGTTTTGCAACATTTATTAGTCATTTCCAGATTTAATGCAAATTTTTGGGGGAATTGAGTTAGACAAATTGACTAGACATGTAACGTGATTCACAACTTGAAAAATACATTTGACCATTCATACTATTGACTTGATCAATTTCCACCAAGTATAACCTTTTCGGAGAATTAAACAATGAGGTAAATGTTTTGAGAAATTAGTAGATAATATATAAGTACACCTAAAGTATGTCATAATAAATATTTTAACAATAATTTTCATGATTTACTACATTTGTAATAGAATTGACCATTAAAATGATGGTATTTACCAAAAACCAGTAACCCTGTGACAGCGATTACATTACATATATTCAAATAAGGAATGAGAAAGCCCAGAATACATATATATGTTTTTCAAGTGGTATGATGAAGCTAGAGAAATAGAGAAGTAGCCCATTATATGATTGAAGAATGGTAACATGAGAAACGTAGAGGTAATTTAAAATAATTTTAGAAATTGAAAGTTCAGAGGAATCCTCAACAAGTGAAACAGAGTTGGAAGTTTGGATAGGGATGATTTGGAAGTGAGGATTTGTAATTGTTTTGGAAGAAAAGGGCGCTGGAAATATCGTGAAGGGGAGAGAGAGAGAGAGAAGAACTCTCTTTGATCAGACAAAAAAAGAGTGAAAGAAAGAGTATGTAGGTAAATTGTCAAAAACTGCAAATCCTAAATGAAATTAGAGTTATTTGTCTTTTATGAAATTAGATTGACTTATTTAGAATTTTAGAATGCAATAGGTATTTATATGAGATTTTTCCTAAGTTTTTTATTTAATTTTTTTTTAAAATTTGACCTTATTTAATTTTAAAAATGGAAATAACTGAATTGGAGACTCTGGCATGTGATTGTATATCCCCGCAGCACTGCCACACAGACCAAAACCAAAATCAAGTCTCTGGCATTAGCCTCCCCCCCGTCTCTCTCCCTCGCTCTATCTCTTGTTTCTTCATAAGAACGGTGACTGTGTGAAGGAGGAGGAGGAGGAAGAAGAATAACTGGGAAGAGATGGAAGAGAGTCTTCTAGCAAAAGACAGAGAGGAGAAAGCGGAGAGGCTACTCACATGGGTCAGTTGGAGTCAAGAAGTGAAGAGAATCGGTTACATAGCAGGACCAGTCATTCCTGTTCTCTCTTCCCAGTTCTTTCTTCAGATTATTTCAATCATGATGGCTGGTCACCTCGATGAGCTCTCTCTCTCCGGCACCGCCTTAGCCGTCTCCATCGCCAGCGTCACCGGTTTCAGTTTCCTCGTATGCTTTTTTTTTTTTTTGCCTCGTTAACCTTCTCATTGTTTCTATTCTTTTATCTTCGCTTCGATTTATCTTCCGGTTTCATTTCTGTTTCATTCTTCAATCCACCTTCGATTTATCTTCGTTCCGTATTTTTGTTCGTTTTGTGCTCTATTATTTTGTTGGGTCCGTGTCGAACTTTCAACCATGGTGGGCGCTTGCGAATTGACCATTTGTCGTTTTCTCTTCTTGTGTGAAAAACTTTATGGTTCAATATCGTTCGTTGGATTTTCTTACAATCTTAGCGGCTCCTGCACGTTGCGCATAAATGATGTTGATTGTTTGGCCTTATTTCCTTGTGATGATAATTTTTTTCTCATCAACCCAAAAATTTATGTGAACACAAAGTTTTGAAATGACTGACGTCATTAATTATAGTATATACGAAACTTAGAATAACTGGGGACAATATTGTGCGACTTCAGTCCGAAGATCGTGGAAATTATTACGTGCACACTCAGAGTGATAACAAGCATTTGGGATTGAAATATAAAATCAAACTTCATATATATAATTTATCAAAAAATCTCATTGCAGGATAGTCTTCAAAATAATAAGCTCTCTAAGGCCAGCTCTTCACATAATCAAAGAATAGAATGCTTGTGATTTTGTTTACTTTGCTAATGAATTCCTTTTCCCCTCACATGTAAGGTTGTTCAAGATAAACATTACTTTCCTCACCGTATGCATTAATGACTCTTTCTTTAAACTGAGATTACTACCATTTCTTTTAACTGATTCATTGATCACTGAACATGCCAAACAGGTGGGAATGGCAAGTGGGCTAGAAACTCTGTGCGGGCAAGCTTATGGAGCTAAGCAGTATAAAAAGCTAGGAATGCTAACATACACTGCCACATTTTCTCTCATACTAGTTTGTGTTCCACTTTCTGTCGGTTGGATCTACATGGAAAAGATCCTAGTTTTCATAGGTCAAGATCCTCTGATTTCACACGAAGCCGGCAAGTTCACAACGTGGCTTGTTCCTTCACTTTTTGGATCTGCATTTCTGCAACCTCTGATCAGATATTACCAGATGCAAAGCTTGGTTGTTCCCATGCTCATAAGCTCTTGTACCACTCTTATACTCTATATTCCTCTTTGTTGGGCTTTGGTGTTCAAGTCTGGGCTTAACAGCGTTGGAGCAGCAGTGGCAATTAGTATTTGGATATGGGTAAATGTGATTGTTCTCGCATTATACATGAAATTCTCTTCTACTTGTGCACAGACAAGAGCTCCTCTTTCCATGGAGCTTTTCAGAGGAACTGGGGAGTTCTTGAGATTTGCTGTTCCTTCTGCAGTTATGATGTGGTAAGTTTATCTTTTCTTTTCTTTTTCTTTTTCCCCCTTTTCATGGACTTATTTTTCTAGATTGTATATGTTCTATCCTCATATTGATTTCTATTTTCAGCCTAGAATGGTGGTCATTTGAGTTGCTGATTTTGCTGTCTGGGCTATTGCCAGATCCACAGCTTGAAACTTCAGTTCTATCTGTATGGTATGTTTCAGAACCTGAGATTAAATTATCTGCAATTTTCTTTTGCGACCAACTTTATCTCGTGACATTGCTTCAAAAAGATCAATGTTGTGACTGTTCTAATTTTGTAATCCTCCTTTTGCAGTCTCAACACCCTCTCTACAATCTATACCATTCCTTATGGAATTGGAGCTGCAGCAAGGTTATAAAACAACAGACTCATCCTTAAGTCTGTATATTATATATATAAACTAATATTATGTGCCTCATATTCTTGTTCATGATTACAGTACAAGGATTTCAAATGAATTAGGAGCTGGCAATCCAAATACTGCGCGAATGGCTGTGCTTGCATCAATGTCTGTAGCAGTGTTAGAGACAACAGTCATAAGTGCAACACTCTTTTTCTGTCGTCGTCTTTTTGGTTATATTTTCAGCAACGAGAAGGAAGTTGTTGATTATGTGACTGTCATGGCTCCTCTGGTTTGTGTCTCTGTTATATTGGACGGCTTACAAGGTGTTCTCACAGGTATATAAATCTTCTAGTTTTAATAAGTAAACTACATAAAAGAAAACTAGAACTGTCCCCCCCCCCCCTTTTTTTGCTTTTGAATTTGTGTTTTTTTGGAATAGGGATTGCTAGAGGATGTGGATGGCAACACATTGGGGCTTATATCAATCTTGGAGCCTACTATCTTTGTGGCATTCCACTGGCTGCTACGTTGAGTTTCTGGGTAAAGCTGAGAGGAAAAGGCCTTTGGATTGGCATTCAATTTGGCTGTTTTGTGCAGACTGTTCTTCTCTCAATCATTACATGCCGTATAAATTGGAAACAACAGGTAAGCACACTGAATTTTGTCGTTTTAAAGTTTCAAACTTTAAGGAATGAGATTTAGCTAGATCTCTCTGTGCTAGGTGTGCTCTAAGTACCTTAGCGGTCTGAATATTGAATCACACTATTATTCACAAATAATGAGCAGAGTTCAATCGTTTAAGCAGTCTAGATTACGTAGTTTCAGGTGACTGGTTTGGGGGAAAAAACTCAGGAACCTAATTAAAAATTAGTAAAATTGTACGAACTGATAAAAAGAGGAAAAAAATATAGAGACGTAATTAAAAATCAAGTAAAACTATAAAAATCTGATAAAAAACTATAGGGACATTTAGATTAAACTGTAAGAACTTGCTGAATAATTTTAATTTTAATTTTAATTTTTGAATGTGATATTGTGAATGTGCAGGCCATCAATGCAAGGAGGAGGCTTTTTGAAGAAAAGTTTGCAATGGAAAATGGACTTGGATGAGCAGTCGGCGCGCCCCCCCCCCCCCCCAAAAAAAAGAACTATTTTTCTCCACCCCCACTTTTTTCCTTTTTTCTGGCAGAAGATATGAACTATTTTTCATCCTCAATTTCTTATACTCTTAATTTTGGAAAATAGATGTAGAGAATATGCAAGTTTATATTATTCAATGCAAGGCCTACCACTGTTGGGAAAAAAAATACAAGGCCTACCACTTAGAATTCTATAAATTCTTTTACAAATGATAGATATTATTTCATTAAAATGAGACGTAAAAATTAAAACTCCAAGGGTAGAGTGGAGAAAATCAAACACGTACACCTGAATATTTCCTGAGGCTTCTATGTTTAAAAATTGTGTAATTTGGGAGGTAAGAGTGTTCTAGAGTTTTCAATTGTGATTTGTGAATTTCAGTGCGAATTTTGGTAGAGCAAGAAAATAGAAGAAATGGAGGTGGAAGTGGCATAGGATATGAAAATACCAAAATATCCTTGCCCTTTTTTTTTTTTAATAAAAAGAAAAGCCCTAATATTTCTTGACTCATTGGATGCAAAACAATTACATTCAAGAAAATTCAATCCTTGAAGGAATCAAAATAAGAGGGGGCTGGGCGGCTCTAGCTTTTTTTTTTTTTTTTAATTGATTCCCCTCTTGACCCAAAACCAAACAAAATATTCGGAGGAATGCATACACCAATTCAAGCCGATCAAGAGAAGCTTACGTAGCCATGATACATGTCATCAACTAATTGGGGTATCATTTTTCTGTCTTACATCCATTCCACAAAATGTTTCTCATGTAATAGCATTATAATAGTATTCTTTTCGCTCATTAGGGCGAACTCTTTCACTTATTAGGGTGAATTCAACAGCTCATTTATACTAAAAACTCCTGATTTTCAGGTCTTGGCCCTTAAAAAAAACCAGGCTTATTTGATTAATCCGACTGACCTAACCTATTTTATCAGCTCTATATTTATCGCAATTTTCATAGCATATTCTGAAAAAACTCTTCATAAAACATATCATTGCATGTCCCACATACTTCCACTAGCTAGCTTTGAAAAAAACAAAATATATAGCATTTAGTCCGTTTGACCTGAGGCTTTCAGAGACTCCATATGAAAGATGGCCTTCATAATTTTTGCTTCATCAACATCCCTTCCAAGAGCATTGATAAATTCAGATTTAATTAACAGAAGGGTGATAAAAATCACACCTTAACTTCCAACAATCAACCACTTCCTCATCAAATAATTTCTTAATAGCATCCAGAGCTATGTTTTTATAATCCTTCAGTTCTAAATATAAAACCCTTTTCGTAATGTAAATTATATTACGAAAATGGTCTTATATTTAGGATCGAAGGAGTATATTCTTAGGTTCTTACATATATAGCAAAGATAGCATTTGCCTTCGCTTGACCATTAACTCTTGCATGCAAATATTTTGTCTCTTTTATGTCCCGAAAAAAAATCAGTCACATCTAACTTTTAACATTTCTTCAAGTTCCAACCCAAAGCTTCTTTTATAATTCCTCAAGACTAGAAGGACGTCTTTGGTAAATTCAGTTCATAACTTCAAGGCAATTAAGCAATACATACATATTTATATATATATATATATATATTTTCCTTTCTTGCGAAATGCCCAAACCCCTCCTTACTCCATTTTCCCACATCTTTACATTGTTCAACATTATCAGGCCATCCTCATTCCTATTTCAAAGCACCCCAAATGTTGCTTTTGAGCATATGTTCAAAATCACAAAAAAAAAAAAAAACTAACAAATATGCAGACTAGTTCACCCACTATACCTCTATATAGTAAAAATTGGATATATATTAGGATTTTTCAAGATATACCAATTGGATGCAAAAACTTTTTGAATCTAATTTACTGGTCTAAAAGCTCAGTCCAAAAAAAGCCCGATTCAGTCCAACTTAGAAAAAAGCAACCTGAGCATAAAGTCGTGTTGGACTGGACTAGTATTAGGCACTGAGTCAAACTAGGTTCCGGATTGACTCTTCAAACCAAATGGTTTGGCCTAACCCGATGCCTATATTTATTTTCTTCAATTTATATTATTTTTTCACCTAACCCTTCTCCCTCATATAATTATTTCTGATGCTTGCTATTTTATTTTCAAATTTAGGTTGGTTTATTTTGTATACATGAGATGATTGTATAGTCTAAATGCAAAAAAAAAAAAAAATAGCCGCCATTTAAAAAAAAAAAAATACCTGAATGGAAAAGCAATCTAAACCGGTCTAGTAACCATGTAAATTATGTCCAACAGATTAGACAGATTCTCGGACCAAAATTTTCTGCCCAATCATTTTTCAGATCAAGCTTTGGGTTGATATCTAACCCAATTCAATATAGTCTTTGTGCAAACCCAAGCAATCAGAGATTTATTTGCATAAATATTAAAATTTATTTAAGGTGGTTTATTGTAAAATTTTAAAGTGTAGGGAAATTATATGCATGCAACCTAAACTTCAGAGGTTATATATAATAGAAAAACAAAAATTCATAGATATGAGTAGGATAATCTCTTAGCATTTATCTTTAAAGTAATATCAATGATATACAAAAGAAAGGACATTTTATTCCATAAAAACAATGCTGATAACTGATTTAGCTAGTTGATTCTCATTACCATTGTTTAGCACATAAGCTCGATCAATATATTCCCCCCCGCCCCCAATAGTCAAAACATACGCACATATATGTATGCATATATTTTCCCAAAGACAAGTCATTATTGATTGTACATGTGTTACAGTTGGGATTGGCAAGTGGACTAGAAACCTTGTGTGGACAAGCCTATGGAGCTCAGCAATATCAGAAGCTTGGAACTCTAACATACATTGCCATATTCTCTCTCATACTAGTTTCTGTCCCACTGTCTCTCATTTGGATCAACATGGAAGCAATCCTGGTCTTCATAGGCCAAGATCCTCTTATATCACATGAAGCAGCCAGGTTCATAATCTGGCTTGTTCTTGCACTTCTTGGATTTGCAGTTTTGCAGTCTCTGGTTAGATATTACCAAATGCAAAGCCTGGTTCTTCCCATGCTGATCAGTTCTTGTGTCTCTCTTCTTCTCCATGTGCCTCTTTGTTGGGCTCTGGTGTTCAAGTCTGGGCTTCACAATGTTGGTGTGGCATTGGCCATTAGTATTTTAATATGGGAAAATGTGATTATTCTTTGGTTATATATGAGATCCTCTTCTTCTTGTGCCAAGACTAGGGCTCCTATCTCTATGGAGCTTTTCAAAGCTATTGGAGAGTTCTTTAGATTTGTTGTCCCTTCTGTAGTTATGATATGGTAATTTCATCTTTCTGTTTCTCCCTCTTCAAGCCCAACCTAACTATTAATGAACAAACATAACGCTGATGAATAGGAAAGGATTCAGAAATTTTAAACTATGGGGTAATATATGTAGAACAAATTGAAAAAGCGAGAGTCTATTTAGAGAAAGAAAATGGGTTTATAAAGTTAGTAAAAGTCTGGTTTTTTATGAAATGGAGATTCACTTAAATTTTGAAGCACATTTTCATAACAATATGGTCTATATGGTGACTTGGTTTGATGTTGATGATGATTTCAGCTTAGAATGGTTTGAGCTTCTGATCTTGCTCTCTGGGCTATTACCAAATCCACAGCTTGAAACTTCAGTTCTATCTATTTGATACACTTCAGAAACACAACTCTATTTCAGAGATCTTGCTTAAGAACTGAAATCCATGTGTGTGATCTTCCATTTTTCTCAGACTTCATTTATTATTATTACTGTGATTTTCTAATACTGTCTTTCTCCTTAAACAGTCTTAACACCATTTCCACTCTATATTGTATTCCCTATGGAATTGGTGCAGCAGCAAGGTAACAAAGGCATAAAAAAACACCTATGCATATATGTTCGTGTATTAAAACACACACAGACAATTATGTATCTCTCTGCTTGTGAACTGCTATGTGACCTAGGTTACTTTGTTCACAAATATATGTGTGTATTTAGAGTGCAAGGATTTCAAATGTATTACGAGCTGGGAATCCAGATGCTGCAAGGGTATCTGTAGTGGTTACAATGTGCATTGCAGTGTCGGAGACAACAATTGTAAGCACAACACTTTTTGCCTGTCACCATGTTTATGGCTACACTTTCAGTAATGAGAAGGAAGTTATTGACTATGTCACTTTCATGGCTCCTCTAGTTTGTCTCTCCGTTATCCTTGACAGCATACAAGGTGTTCTCTCAGGTCTATCCGAATATACAGACACAGATATATCTATGTAACATTATGTTGTGCTCTAGAGACAACAAAAGTATGTGAACATAGGTTTGGTACTACATATTAACCCAAAATAATAATATTCCCTTTGGCCCTTGATATAAAAGCTACTTAACTAATTTGATTAAATTAAGAAAATCAACTATAAATTAGTTAATTATAATAAACATAACATGATTTTCCTACCCTAAGATAAGATTAGATTATATATCAATCTATAAGTTAAGTTAATTTGAAAAAAATGATAAATATAAAAGACAAAGTGGATTGTAATTTTATTAAGAACAAATTCAATCCCTAAGACCTTAACTAGCTCCTATATTTAGGACCTGATGGAATATTAAATATATGAGCATCTCATCTCCTCAATCCATATCTGTTTAATGTGAAACTTGTTCCTACTTCCATCTGACAATTGATCGTTGGCACATTGTTAGAATTAAAGTCTTGACAGTAAAATAAACTATGGAACAGGAATTGCTAGAGGTTGTGGATGGCAGCACATAGCAGCTTACATTAACTTAGGAGCCTTTTACTTGTGTGGGATCCCATTGGCTGCTACATTGAGTTTTTGGGCAAAGCTGAGAGGAAAAGGCCTTTGGATTGGCATTCAATTTGGCTCTTTTGCGCAAACTGTTCTACTTGCCATCATAAAATGTCGTATAAACTGGGAACAATAGGTAAACCTTCTAATTTTCATCTTGTTGTTATGGGTTCAAAAGCTGGTACCAATTAGTAAGAATGAAAATTTGAGAAAGACATATGAAGATCACTGAGATATGGAAATCCCAAAATGATCCTCGAAATGACTTAATTCCTGTGAATCCTAAGTGATTATTCTAACATTAAGTTTTTTGTAAGGTGATCCAATGGCCCTCAGTAAAATTAGTTGTCACATTGTTGCTGTCATCATTTAATAAGTTAAGGTTGTTACTTATTAAATTGTTGTTGTCATTGACAATCAACAAGATATTTTTCTGGAGTTAGTTTCGTAGTCGTTGCTATCATTTACTTCCCCAATCCTTTATTATAAGAAACAATTACCAAGCTTACGTGATTCAAATTATTATCTAAACTTACTTAAAAGTAGTAAATGTGCAAAATATATACATGTTCTTTTAATTATGCCCTTGTTTGTAAAGGGAACATGAGAAATAAGGAATGAAAATTTATTGCACAGAACAGGGTAAAAGAGAAAAGGCTGGTTTAACATTTCAAACAAGAGAACTTATTTCATATATTTAAATATAGCACTATGTTAGAGATTATTTCATGTAAAAAAAGGGATGGAGCAAGTAATAAGTTAGAATTGTTATTTTGCTTGTTTGGGAGAGGGTAGATAGTGGGTGTTTTTAGTGGATTTCAGGCGAGTCATGTTTGAGCAGGGTATTTAGTCCACTTCTTTTTGTGGTTTGCTTTGTTGCTTTTGGGCCTTAAGCCCTTCTTCTTTAGCCCAAAAAATTGTTATTTACTAAATTATTTTTGTCATTTCGATTTTTTCTTTTTTTTTTTAGGGACATTTGGATAATTAATCTCCCTATAATATTTAATCTTGGACTAGTCCTTTATGACTTCACAACGATTAGGTTTTTTTGAGTTCCTGATTTGTGATCCTTAGATTTAAGATGTATTTTCTTGTCTTTCTCTCGAGAAATAATATAGCACATATGACTTTTTTTTTTTGGGTTACTTGGTATTTTTTATATTAACTTGTTAAAAAGAAAAAGAATTAAATTGAAAAGTAGAGCAGGACCAAGCAGGTCTCTAAAGCAGAATGATTTAGCATATTGTTTTCTCCAGTAAGTTTAAAATAGAATAAACTGAAGGATTTAATTGGTTTTGGTGGTATTGCAAATGCAGGCTATGGATACCAGAAGAAGGCCATGTGGTGAACCATTCTTATTGGAGAATGGACTCATATGAGCACACAACTACTAGATAGGGGCAATTTTCATTAGTGTTAATTAGTTTGGTTTGGATCTTCCGAATTTGAAAATTTTTAAAGTATCTATTATAAAAATAAAAATTTAAAGAGGTGATCACTTTTAGTGTTGATATTGTCTCGAATAGAATTGCCTGAAAGATATATATGCATAGCCAAAAAAAACAGAGAGAGAAAGAGAGTTATATAATGAGGGAATCACATTCTCACCTTTCTCATTTCAGAGGTATTTTAATTTTGGAAGAGCCGAATCCTTCTTTACACAGACACACACACAATAAATAAAACTTATTTATTTTAAAGTTATAATTCAGCGCATCTTATTAAAATATTTTAAAAGAAATTTATTTTATGGATGTGATCTTTTATGTCATAAATTAAAATGGTTTTCAATTTTTTTTATTTTAACTACTCTAGTCCTTAATATAAATCATTTGTAACATGTTTTTGCCCATAAAAAAAGGTATTAAATTGACAAAATTTTTAAATTTTATCCTTATTAAAGTTCTCTCTCTACATTTATAAATTATTCTCATATTGATCTATTCTCTCTCTTTCTAATAAGAATTAAATAAAAGTAAAATTAAAATTAAAAAATAAATATTAAATACTATGTTGCAAGTGAGATCAAAACTTCTACTGACAAATGACCTATATTTATTTATTTTAGGCATAAAAATATTAATTATAATAAGAACAAACCTTACCAAGTTCCTTGAATTCAGACACATCTAATTTTCCATTCAACAAGTGCCACCTAGAATTCATTAAACACAACATCATTTAATGTCACCCCTCCTCTCCACCTGAGATCCCATTTTCTGACATGCTTTTCTTGCTTGCAGTTTCATGGGACCCATTTGCTTCAAGCGACGCTCTCATGAATGACCCTACCGGCTCAACCGAAAGTTCAACTTTTCGGCAATTTAAATATATTTTATTTTAATATTATAAGAACTAAATAATTAATTTTTTTTCTTTGGATACGTGCAATACTAACATAGCACGACTCAAATTATAGACAATCTTCTATTAGTAATTTTTATAAAAGGAATATCATTCAAAAGTTTGCAAATTCAAAATTTAAAATCTCAGATCATTTTACAAGGATACTAAAATTAACTACTAAATTGTGTTTTGATCCTTCAACTTAATTATAATCAATTTTTTCATGATCTTTTATAACAAATGTTAACTACAATTTTTTTGAAAAATGATTAACATTTAATTTATCGATAATCTATATACTATTTAAGAAATTATTTAATTCTCTTCGATTTACTTGTGTCAATTTTCGTTGTAATTTTATATCATTAAAAAATAATCTTAAAATAATTATTTTGAGCCTCCAATCTTAACTAAACTAAATGCATTAATTCACAGTTAAAAATAATAAACTTGTGATTGGTTAAAAATAATAAATTTATCACATTGTATTATATTCAATTAAAAATAACCGGAAATAGATATTTGTCAAAATTATATGAGAAGATTCGACCAAGAAGAAGAAAAAGAGCATTTTGCTTCCTCGAACTTTTCTTATGTCGAGATAAGGATAAGAGGGAGTTAGATACGTTGGACATGGAATTTAGTGAGTAAACAGTGGAAGCCAAATCAAAGTGGATAAAAATTGTTGTCAATGAAAAAGCAATTTCTTAAAGGGGAAAATCACCCAAAAAAAAAAAACCAAATTAGCAAAATAACAAATGCACACCTGAATAAACTTAATTGCTTGGGGATCGGGTCTTAAATTGAAATTATGAAATTAAGCCAAAAAGATGAAAATACCCCTCTTTTTTCTCTTTCATCTCATCAACTCTTTTTCTTTTCTTCTTCTCTGCAGAACCAGCGGATTCGACTCTTCTCTTTCTCCTTCTCACAACTTGTTCATTTGATTTTTATGTAGGTCTGAAACAAGGGAGTGTGAAGATTTGGTCGCAAGTCCAAGAGGAAAAGTTTGCTTTGGATAGAGGCTGGATTATTGAGAAGATATCTGTATTGGGATTAGAAGGAAGTGCTACGCCACGGTCACTTGATGGTATACCTTTGGTAGGCGCATCTAATATGGAGGTTTGTACATCAGAGCAAAAGTATTCACCAAATGGACAAGAAGATTATGAGCAAAAGGCAATGATAGTGGACATGAACGGCTTGAAAATCCTCATGGGTAAAATTTTTGCAATAACCTGAAAAATGGGGGTCTCTTGTTGATATATAGGTATGTTGTCAAATGGAATTTGGGAATCTTTAATTAGGACAGTGTGATATTTTCTTCTATGTCTTTTTTAAGTTATGAACATACATGACTTATGTTGTAGTTCTATGAAATCATAGATGCATTCAGTTAAGTATCTAAATCAAAGCTATAATTTTTTTTTCCTTTTAAGTTTTTTGCCAAGATTAATTCCCTATGGCAGTATAATTAACAACAAATTCAAATTTAAAATTTGGATTGCTAAGATTTTGCTAAAATTTAAATTAATGTGAATAACTTTTCAACACTTGTTATTTTCCATACAAGATTTGTTATTATCAACTAAATTGTGACAATAATGCCAATTTCTTTGCTAAAACTTAAGTTTTTGTATATAAATTTTCAATACTTGTTATTTTTCATACTAGATTTATTAGTTTTCCTACTAAACTTGTCATTAACAGTGATTTAAATAATGTAATTCTACTGGCTTATGTCTGTATCAGTAGTGATTCTAATTCTTAGATGCTCAATTGCCTTTTCACCATGCATAGTTACTCTATTCCTGTTATATACAATAGTATTTTTTATTTGAGCTGTGATAAGCCTAAAGTTGGTCTTTCAAACATGAGTGGCTTAATAGGTTCATGGGGCCAAAAAGAGAAGGAAGAGGAAGGAGAGGAGAAGGAGGAAAGAGAAGGAACATGAAAAGAATGAGGAAGTCTCTATAGATAGTTTCAATAGGAAAATAGGGATAAATTGTATATATTGTTACTGCATTTAAGATAGGTTTAATATTTTTTACTTTGTTAATGGGTAGCTACTATTATGAATTATTGATAGTTATGTATTGTTAAAATGACATTTGAATTTGAGATTATTAAATGTTTCAGTTTGAATTGAGATTTTTTCCACATTTCATTAGCCAATGACAAGTGTAGTATGGAAAATAACAAATTATGATGAGCATTTCATGATAAGTTAAATTTTTATTTTGAAATGACATTTTTTCCATATTTGAATGGAAAATTACAAGTATAGTAAGGAAAATAACAAGTTTTGAAAAGTGTTTCATATTAAGTTAAGTTTTGTATTAAAATGACATCCTTTCCACATTTGAATGGAAAATTACAAGTGGAGAAAGAAAAATAACAAGTTTTGAAAAGTATTTCATATTAAGTTTTTGTGTTAAAATGACATCTTTTCCACATTTAAATGGAACAATATAGGGAAAATCGCATATAAATACCTATTGAATCCTAAAATTCCGAATAAGTTACTTTAATTTCATAAAAAAACAAATAACTCTGTAGGTATTCATTTGGTATCTGCAGTTTTTGACAATTTACCTACATGCCCTTTCTTTCACTCCTTTTTTGTCAGATCAAAGAGAGTTCTCCTCTCTCTCTTCAAGTTCTTTTCTCTCTCCCTCACGATGTTTTCTGCACCCTTCTCTTCCAAAACAATTACAGATCCTCACTTCCAAATCGTCCCTATCCAAACTTCTAACTTCGTTTCACTTGTTTAGAGTTCTTCCGAACTTC